GAGAGAGAGAAAAGCCTTTTCTGGATTAAAAGTAACGGCCCATAAGCAGCAGGGACCAAATAATAGATGCAGAATATACTGTGGTCACAATGATTTTAGGATGTAGTCATGTAGACAACAAAAATATCATCTTACACTAGTGATTTTCAAATGAAGCCTAGGGCTCACTTGACATTATACAAGGTTATTCTTCTAGGGTTACGGTGATTATTTGATGCCTCTGGAGAAATGACATAAATGTTTGCTCTCCCTATGGCCAAAAACTGATTTTGAAAGTTGAGACAAAGAATCTCTAACATGCGCTGCCTGAATAGGTATAGTCTTTACCCCTCTCCTGAAAGCCTGTATGGGCCTTACACGTATTAAGAACACTTTGAATCAGTGGATTGCAGTTAATTCAAGAGTTCAAATCAAGTGAAATTATCTACTTTTTCCTCAAACTGTTTCTATTTTATGCAATTTTTTCGCATTAGAACAATAAATAACAATTTACTACTTATGCTTAATTCCTTTTTGTCATAATTTTACAAAGATTAAATCCATATTCTCAAGGAGTATACAAGAACATCTTGAGGATGAATAAAAACCAGAACCAGCACACTGAAAGCATACAAAGAAATTGATTAACAGCAAGGCCATGCCATAGCTTCAATTTCCCACACGAAGGAACTACAAAAAGCAAAACAGATGCTAATTTGACTTCAATCATATCCTTATATGCGTGTCTGTACATGCATCACACGAATTCTCTTAGCTAGAACTTTAACCCATAGACATCTATGATGCAGAACAGATGCATGTTGATAGAGTAACTTTTGGGAAACACTGAACAATTGATTTACTTGTAATTGCAGAGCGCTGTGAACGGTCTTCCACTTCTATTGCCACTTGAACAAGGCCTCCTTCTAATTGTGATATGCAGGGTGGTACTGGAGCATCCTACAGTAGATAGCAAAAGATCAAATTATAGCGTCCTCACAAACAGTTACCTCACAAGAGAGCTTTAAGTATATGTGATTCCTGAAAGCATGATAGATAAAGAAATGGAGGTAAAAAGTATGGACACTGGACAAATATGATAACAGGAGAAACGATAAGGATCTCTGACATGCCTTCGGTTCTTTAAATTTCACATTGCTTGATTCCCAAATTGAGGAGTTGAAAGATTAATAACAAAGAATCTAGATAATGAATAACATCCTGATATTAGTTTACCTGCGGATTGGTTTCAGCAGCAATTGTACTAAGCGCACCATCAACAACATATATGAAAGAGGCAGATTCTAGATCTTCTTCTGCACGATAGCAAACAAACAGCTCACAACCCAAACAATTCATTCTATACTGCTTCTCCATTTTTCCTTCACCACTGCACGAGAAAGATCCACCTCAACAAAGATTAACTTCCAAGAATTTGAATTTCACAAATTTAGCACAGAACAGCAGAAATAGATATCATGAATGATATGGACCTAATCAAATACTAAAAGCAGGTAATCAGTCATACTTCATGAATCCACAAACTACTAGCGCTATAATTGATTTTTGTTAAATTATATATTTTTTAAGTGGTAAAACGCTGTATTCTATTGCATAAAGCAAATTTGCTTGTTAGTTCTACACAGGAAGCAATGTTCCTGGATTTTCCACTCAACACACATGATCAGCAGTTCCAGCATAGACATAAGATTTAAGACTCAACTGACGATTTATTATTTCATATTTCTCATTGAAATTAAGAGCAAGACTTTGGATATGATCAAAGCTAAGACTACCTAATAAGAAAATAAAAAATTTCAGAAATAAGCTCAGTCTTAGTTTTGCTCTATCTCTCAGACAGATTCAGAAAGATTGCAGATCATCTGATTATCACGCTAACTCTACTGTCCCAGCTATCTGAGCACATTTTGAAGGAAACTAAACACAAAGATTGCAATTGTTATACTGTATTTCACTCATCAGCTGAGTAGGATTCTCCACATTGAAGCAGAAATACTGCAGGCCATCCAGTCATTATCAAAAATGTTACGCCTCTGGTTATTTACGTAGAATTCAAAGAGATCTTCATATCGATGGAAAACGTTTTTTATGATCTTTTAAACATGTTTGGGAAGTGTTTATAAATAATTTAAATTATAAATAGATAGAAACGAATGTGAACCCTCATAATGTGTGAATAAAAAGTGTTCATACATAGTTTATAAAAACGAGCCAAACATAGGCTTAGTCATTAAAGGTTGCATGCAGTGATGGCTTGAAGACTCAATTCATCTTAGAAAAGATAAACAGAGCTGGAACAGGAAATTGCTCACAAACAGAAGAAACAGGTTATAAGGGAGTACATTGACTCTCTGAAACAATATTATATTAGCAACGATTAAACATAATGGGATTGTTCCTTGAAACATTTGGGTATGCAAAAAGACAGAGAAATCAGTTTTACAACAGTTCGATTCATCCAAAAATAAGAGAACTTGTAAATTAGGCACCAAGCAACTGTCATAAAAAAGAAATATTAGCGAATATCTTTTCTGTCTCTTTCTGCCTTTATTCGTTATCAAGTGTGTTAGTAGAATAAATAAAAGCAGCACACAAAGCTGAAAAAAAAAGGAGAATTTGCATGATGAATAAGACTATACAACATGACACCTGATACAATTTGATAAATAGAAGATTACCGCTTCAAGAGAACTTTTCCCCCTTCACTAGTATTCAGCCTCGCAAGATGCTTCTTCTTGTCCAATACATATGCTTTGTCAGTTTTTCTCTTTGGCATTTTCTGCAATTGCGTATCTACAAAAATGCTTCAGTATGGGGAGAAGCCTAAATATACTACATATGGATTTCTTTAACCAGGAAAAACAGAAAAGCAAACATAACTGATAACTGACATAGAATCAGTTTTGCTCTTTTCAAGAAGTCATCAAACATTTGAGACAAGATCCCAAATAAGTCCAAGTCACTATGGAAGTCAAACTAAAGGTATAACAACTCAAGTGATGTACATCAAAACTCATAGTTAATTCAGTTGCATAAATTTCAGAAATATGAAGTTCTGGAGATGGGAGATCCAGCCATTGCCATGGCTTCCTAATCAAGGAGAAGAAATTGTTGGTTGGTGAGCTGGTGTTCCTGTATGTCCTCTTTTATTTCTTTATGTGTGTGTTTTCTAGCACAAACTTGTGAAAAACCGGAAGAAGAAACAACGGACAAAAGTGAAGCAAATATGTAAACAGAATTTTCCGACTGAGAACTCTAACTTCATAAAATAACACAAACAAGATAGCTGAAGATATTAATTAACTGTGACTAGACTAATAACATAAACATAAAACAAAGGATTAGTTACAAATAATTATTCCTAAAATTCAAAATACAAAAACAGAAATAAACAATTCTCACAATAGTTCTTCACCCATCCAGAACAAATGATGAGCACAGCTCATTTTGCAAGCATTATGCTGAAATAAATAAAAAAGAAGATTAAATTACCGGTGATGAGAATGTGAGAGCTGCAGTGCTTGCAATAGTAGACGAATAGATCGGAGTCAGGGCGGTCCGGCGCGGCGTCCTCGCTCGAGTACGTGTGTGTCGTCCGCTTCGGCATTTGATTTGTATCGATCGATTCTACTCGAGGTTCTCTTGCTTATCCTCCCAAGCCTCAACCCCCGAAAATGTTGCTTGGAATCCAGTGACCAAAAGGGAAACGAAAGATAAAAAGTCTATTTTTCAATTCACGCTAAAATAGTGAATACCTAACCTACGTATTTTTTGTATGTATTATGTATATGTATATTCTGTCTGATTATTCCACCTACTATCACAATCAAGTATGTCAATAAAAATTAACGGATTGCTTAGGTGACAGGCGTTTTGTAAGTTTTGAATGAAGTGATAGGTGCTGTGACAAAACTATTGTTTTTTTTAGCACTATGCTACTTTGACTTAAATTTGTAAAAATTGGCCGAATCAATGTTTGGGTTTACATATGTCTCTTGGCGCGATAACTACAAGGGTCCGCATGCTTTGGGCAACTCACAAGACATGCAAAAAGCAGCCTAAAAGACTCAAGAATGTTGAAGAGTGATGTTTAATAGGAGAGAACGTGAAGTTCTCATTTCTTCCGTGGCCATCCGTGAAGGGCAACGCCAAGATACATGGGCACCGTACAGCACATAAATTGGGGGAATAAGTCTTACTGTACACGTACATTAAGACTTACACTCCTCTCACAATGGAGTGTGGGGTCCGTGATTTTTTAAATTGAGAGGAGTGTAATGCATTATGTACACCCAAGCATCTCTCTAAATTGGGGTCTATGATTTTATTTAAAGTTGAGATATTAGCCAAGCTGTTTATAAGGGGATAAAATATCTTCTTAGAATCAAACCCCCAAGATCCACAAGAAAGCAGAAGCATTAGCTTTAATAATTTTATTCAACCTTTCTTAAGAAACCAAATTAAGATCCATATAGCACATGGATATTGCTACTCGTATCTAATGAATTACATAATATAAGGTGTACAGAAAATATTGGATGAAAAAGTTGATTATATATTTTAAATTGGCAACATTATGTAATTTATTATGTAAATTTTGTACATAATAGATCAATCCTCTTTTCTCCGTTGACATCATATTTTGGTTATTTAAAGAGATCAATGTTACAACTGGACTGTCCAATCTTAACAGAAATTTATTTGGAGCTGATGAAGCAACGCTCCAGAAATTAGCATACTCATCCCGTGTCCATAACACGGAGGCAAATCATTAAGAAATAGTTTTATTTTGTAAACAAGGCAGCTTAAAACTTATTTCTAATAAATAACGGACATTCAAGTGCTAAATGAAAGTTCCAACAAAAGATAAACAATAATTTATTGCAACATGACAATGTGATTGGTTACATTGTCAAGTCAACACACAAATTGTACGAGTCTACAAATTTCATAGTCATAAACGGAACACAACCTAAAATGGTAATGGAAAAACTTGATCATCAACGGAACACAGAACCTACACTCCAAACGTTCGATTGCACATTCCCAACTGGTAAACGAATCAGTGAATTCTGCAAAACAGTTGTCACCAATCAGATACACAGGCAGCAACAAATAATTACTATTAGTTCACCTTGTCTAATTAGCAAGGGCATAATACTCAGTTTAAGATCAAAATGACGACAAATTCGAGTAACTTACATATTTTATTGAAGGCCACAATATCACAACTCTGGACATACTCATTTATTGGTTCTTCCATGAGACGCTCTTCGATAAGTGTGTCGACAGATACCAAGTCATCCACAATGGTAAGCATAATCTGAAGCTTCTTGATACCATATCCAACAGCTACAAGTTTAGCTGCAACAAATGTGACATGTTTTGTAAGTCTTCCTTAAAATGTACGACTACATGAGAAGAGAAACTCCGCATTTTACAATTTCACCATGATAGTTCTTATTCTCAAAACTTTGGCCTGAAAACACATGCTGGAGACAGTCTGGGAACTATATTATGTAAACATGTTTACTTAAACAATCAAAGCCAAATTCAGAAAGTCTTGGATAGACAGCCTTAAGCCAGGTTGCAATAGCCATTAGCACCATCATTTTCCCTAAAAGGAAGAGAAAAACTTACATGCTCCCCATAGCAGACCCTCCATCTGCACACTTCTAACAGCTTCTTCAAGCTTTTTCATATCAGTTTCGTCATCCCATGGTTTGACATCCATCAGCACTGATGACTTCCCACCTAAGAAAATGAGCATAATGATTTATATATGGATTTTGTTTGATAATATACGAGAATGATAAAAATGAAATAAATAACATTGAAATAATTAGGCATGTCAGATTAAAATAGGTTATAGATGATGTGGAAACTTGAAGTAGATATGGCATATGAAAGCGCAATTAGTTCTCTAGCTTTGGTCCACTTGTAATAACGGGAGAGTGTGTTCGTGTATTATTTTTTTAAAAAAAATCGTGCGCATGCATATTGTGAACTCACTCTCTTTCTTCTTTCCAGATGCCTTCACGGCTGCAGCACGTTCTTCAGCAGCTTTCTTCTCTTCCTCGGTCTCTTCACCAAACAAATCCACATCATCATCATCGTCATCCTCGGCAGCAGAGGCCTGAAATTCAAATTTTGTGCTATTTATAAGGTCAAGCATTCAAAATGATAAGCACACTAATAACCAATAATTCATGGTTATTCAAAATTTACATTGCTATACAAAACAGATATAAAGAGATTAACTTGTTCACAACACAGAATTTCCAACACACCTAAGAATTATAATGAAAGGAATTTATATATTAATATCTTGCCTTAGTGTCTACAGCAGGAGGAGTTGCAATAGCCTCCTCAGGGACAGAAGCTGATCCCTCAACTATAACACCAGATCCTTCCGCAGAAACTCCACTACAAACCATATCATAATAAATTAGCAAGCCAAAAACTTTAAAATACTGAAATTACAATTCAACTAAGAAAGGACTTACGAAATCCTCAATAGTGCTTCAATGTGGTTGTACCACCGTGAAACATTCACATAGTCAGATGATGGAGGCTTTGACAGAGCAGCATGCACAGTCAGATCATCCTTTGAAGCTTGGTACCTGAAACAAGGAGTAAAGAGAGAATTGAAATTGACATTCAATTCACTTGCCAGACTCAAAAGAAAAACCTCTCATTATAACAGTCGCACTGTTCTGCACTCTATAAAGCCATGCTTCCATTGCCTATGTTTTTGATATGAGAAGTTCAACTCTACGTAACATATTCCTCAACTCCTGTACAACCACACACTAGTTTGTGGAATTGATACTACTAATTCAGCCAATTTTCTCTCGCTCTTTTCCAGGACAGTGAGTCATATTATATCTATCAAAGCATAAATAGGTTATCTAAATTACACGTGAGATCTCAAATCAATTATGCAACACATATAAGTTTCTCAAGTTCAGGCAGGTGTCAAGAGTGCCCACGCAGTTATCATTAAGCACAAGCATGTTGTAGAATGTTAGTTGAATAAAGCGATTGATCTGCAAATCAACAGCAACAGAGTTTAACTAAGATTTATCCAATGGATCACATGGTTCGGTTTTTATTTTGATTATTCTGTAGATATAAATAGAAGAGTAAAAACAAAAGTTGAAAATCCATTTAATAAACCTCGTTTGTGACAAATTCTTCAACCCGTATTCTTTTCATAAGTTATGCAATAGAAAATTAGTTCTAATAAAGCGCCCCGCACAAAATTTAAAATAAAATAAATCCAATAAAAGCATTAAAAATACTGTAAAAAGTGCAATTTACCCTGTGATGTAACTGCGAGTTAAAAGGTATTCATCAAGCTTCTTGAGGCCAGCATCTGAGCCGAGGTTGTAGAATGCGACAGCCATTGCTTAATAGTAATACTCAGATCTGAATTAATTCGATTCGATTCGATTAGATTAAGCCAAATACGCATTACAAGATTGAATTAAAAGTGCAAATCTATGAAATTTTCAAGCTGTGTGTAGAGAGAGACTCACATGACCAGCGCTGGAGGCGTAGAGCTTGGAGTGAGACTTCGAGTATGGAGAGTAAGATTAGGGTTTTATTGAGGATATTTATGGCACGAGGAATTTTGGTTATTTCTACTCAGCCCCTCGATTATCGTGATAAATGATAATCACCCCCTACAGATTGAATAAAGGAAAAATTTCACATTCAAGAGAATAAATTTAGCCTATTTCAAAAATAAGAAAACAAATTTGAAATTATCAAAATCAGATTTTTATTAAAAATTTTTAAATTTTTTTTATGAAATAATAAATTATTAAATTAATTTATTACTAAATATTTAATTCTAATATAATATAATTAACACGTCCCACTTTCACCATCCTACTGATCCAGCGATCGTTCCGATCACCGCCCTACTCCGACGAACTTTCCGACGACCTCTGGCGAACTTTTTAGGTGACTTTTTCGATTCTGACAATTATTTATATTATTAATTAAATATTTACTTTATTAATTAAATATAATGTTGTTACAATTATACAATTAATGGTCACATGTATATAATTATAGGTCACAGATCAAAAATTTTGTAGATCACGGATTATTTCGAGGTCACAAATCAAGTCACATTATTTTATTGGTCACAGTTATCTATCAGTCACATATTTTCAAATTTATTGGTTACAAATTAATTTTTAGTCACAATTTTAAAGTCACGGTTATATTTTTTTTGTGACCACCCCCGTGACCATCACCAATTTCTGTGATCATTCCCGTGACCACCACCGATAGCTATGACCACCACTCATCACTGCCACCAGCCACGTCGTCGTTGCTATTACCACTGAAATACACCAACTCCACTCTCAGATCCCTCGGGCTCAAAACTCACCACTGAAATACACCAGCGCACGCCATTTTTGCAACGCCAACATCACCACACCGCAATGCAACATCAACACTACCGCACATACTACAACACCATCAAATCCACCACCGCGCACACAACAAAACCACCCCGACCGTCAGTTATGCAATCACCACCACAAAACCACCACTACACAAACACCAACACCATCGGTCCGCCACCACACAAACAACCATCAAAACCCTCCCCAACCGGCAGATCTACCACAGAAACACCAAAAACCTCCCCAACCGGCAGATCCACCACAGAAACACCATGACAACCACCACACAAACAAATCCACAACCAGCAGATCCACCATAGAAACACCATCAAAACCCTCACTATTTATGCTTCGTGCACGCTGGTGCGGTGCTTCGCCGGAGTGGGTGTCGCGAGGCTGCGAAGGGCGGCAGGGTCGCTATGCTGATGCTGCCGCGAAGTGGAGGAGGGTGGGGACGTTGTTGTTCGAACAACAGCGTCGTCGAGACGCTGCTGTGTGAACGCGAAGCAAAGAGAGGCGATGAAGAGACGGGTAGAGGAAGGAGAGAGAAGGGAAGAGGCTGGAGTTCGTGGCCGGCGACGAAAGTTGAGAGAGAAAGAGAGAAGAGAACGGTGGGTTAAAGAGAGGGGGGGAAATGGGAAATTAATTAGGTTTGGTGAAATTTGTAATATAATATTTAATATTTAAATATTAAATTTTTGATTTTTGAAAAATAAAACCTTCCATCTGATTTTAGAACTAGGATCTTTAATACTAGGGTTTAGTGTAATTTCCTCTTGAAGAAATGATAAACCATTTTCGTGGCCCAATATAGATCACAAGCCCGTTCATCGTGGGCTGTGCTAGATTGACCCACGTAAACAAATTATCCCCCAAATTATTATTTTGTTGAAATTAAGCTGTGTTTGTCTACTATTATTTCAAAAAAAAATCTTAAAACTCATTTTCAACTATGGATTCTCACAATAACATATTTTGCACATAATTCCAAAAAATTTCTACCTTTCAACCACATATTCTCCTAAAATTCACTATTTCAAAATCCATTTTTATTGAATAATAGTAGACAAATAAGGGCTAAAAGAGGAAATCCACATACTTCCAATAGGCAAAACGACCATTGAACAATCAGCAAAGGCTAAGTGGTCGTTCTCTTCGTGTTTCAATTTTGTATTTTGAGTTTTGAATTCATTTTGTGTTTCTGTTTTGAGTGTCTGTTTTTGGAATTGTTAAAAACTCGTTCTCTTTATCGTCTGAAAAACTGTTTCTCAAAATAGAAAATTTGAAAACTCATTTACTTTAAAATTTTGAGAATCCCTTTTTATAATATTTTATTCAATAAATCTGATTATTCAATAAATTTTAATAGCTTAA